CACAGACCAGGTACCTATTTGTCCCTGCTTGGTCAGAGTCTGCTGACTCGTGTCCTGTCTCCCTGACCTGTCACATGGTGTCCTCATGACTAACACCTGAGTCATGCCAAGTCCGGACTCTTGCTCATGAGTAAGCGCCCCCTGCTGGCATGTAGGTCACCTGTCCGTGAGCGAAGATGGGCGCTCCCGGACCCCTCAAGGCCCTGGGTTCGATCCTGGCTCCTCCACTTTCCGATACGAGTTGTCCGTGGTCGAGGTGAGCGTCTGTCCTGGTTCACATGACCCCCAGGTCACGTGGCACGAGAAAACTGTGACAGTTCGGGCGCAAAACAGAGGTAGCGGACGTGTTCCGGATCGCCATAGAGTGCTTCAATGCACTCCATAATATCGCGCGCATACATATCAAAGGTTTCGCCCATGACATGAGCTTCGTGGTACTTGAAGGTTGGGCGGCGTGATGGGAGGTTGTCATCGAAGATACTGTGCAGTTGCTTCGCATTTCTGAACGATAGGCCTAGCTTGTCGACAAGCTGTTGATTGATCAGATGCAAGCCACAAGAAATCCGGAAAGGTGCAGAACGTACACCCTTAATATTGAGGAGTTCAGTGAGAGCTGTAGAGCTGATGTCGTGAATATTCGCCCACCGCCCAACACCCCAATCCACCTCTGATACAAACGGCGCAAACATATTCTCGTGGGATCCATGAACGCGCTCGCCATACCTCCGATATGCGGACGTGCGAATACGAGGCTCAGACACAGGTGTGCCAGCCTTGCCTCCGAAATGGCGGATATTTGCAGGAGCCTCACGAAGCCGTTCATGAGAGTGGGGATCGACACCTCCTGGACCAGGCTGCGTCTGAGCGTCTTCCTCGTCGTCCAGCGAATCCTCAACGGTAGGAGTCGGAGGTTTTGAACGGATATGGATTTGGGGATGAGGAGGGGAGGAATCAATACGCATCGGCTCAGGAGGACGGTCGAGTGGAGAGGACTCGGATCGAGCGGCGGCAGGGGCTAGGGTATCCAAACCGACCACTTCTTCGTCACCATCTTCTTCGTTGTCACTGACCTCCGCTACCTCAGGAACTGGCCCTGCGTCGAGTGGTGCATCAATAGAATCGTCTTGAGCGAAGCCTGGAAAGTCGACCGCCGTGTAGTCAGCTTCAGTGCCAAAGAAGTCGCCTTCGAAGCGAACAGGAGGTGGCTCCAAATTTTCAGAAGCCCGCTCCTCATTGACATCGGCATGGGTTGGAGAAGCAGAAGAAGAGAGGCTTGGAGATGAAGAGGATATCGACTCAAAGTCAGGGACGGCACCCGGGGAGCGAGTACCAGAGCCCCAGCGATGAGGAGGATCGTGTCGGTAGGGTTCACGGATCCTGTTCAGAACGGATTCGCCCGCACGAAGACAGGCAGCGTCTGTAGTCCTCTGTAGATGTTGGATATAGTAACCTTCGCGACGAAAGCTGGTCTTACAAGCTGAGCACTCCCAGACCGCAGACATTGGGAAAAGCTAAGGGAGGTGATGGGATTTGACCATACACAATGATGGTGGTACAGAACGGGTGTCTAGTTGAAATCGACGCGAGCTGTCAGGGGCAACCCAAACAAACAAGGGCGTGGAGCCGAGCCGCCGCTGAGTTTGTCGGGGTCCGTGCTAGTACGCTTCAGCATCGGATGGACAAAATCATAACCGGTGGAGACGCACCAATTTGATACCTTCTTAAATTGCGGTCAGCATGAACCGCATTCGTCGCAGACCTCTCTCCCATCTCCCGCCCTTCCAGTCGAAGTCTAGGCATCATCCCCTCCTCCCTACGCGCTCCCTTCCGAGTGCCCGTCTGCGTTCCAACAGTCTGCCACCACTTTGTCGTCAAAATGAGTACTGAAGGCACCTCCGCCGCGGCAGCGAGGATCCGAGCAGCGCGCGCGGACAAGGCCAAAGCAAGTGTTAGTCCCAGCAGCGATCAGAACCACAGAGAGTCACAAAGGCGTGCGTACCATGGATGTTGATTGCTACCTCCCTATCTGATTTATCACGGATAGCTTCTCGTGAATCGAAGACTAAACTCTTGCAGAATCCTAGTGAGTAACACAGACGCGACCATATACTAGAGTATGCAGACTTACAGGACGGCATTAGCGTGGGGTTCGAAGAAGGCTAGAGGAAAGCCTGATGGACAGACGAATTCCAGGGGCAACTCCCTTCAGTATTCAGGGATTGTTGAGTCCATTGAAGGGCCGATGAATAAGGGGATAGGTCGTCCTGGGGGCAGAGGGTTGCAGAAGGGGAAGCGCAAGCGAGTGTTGTCGGATTCCGAGTTGGACAGGTCAGGCGATGAGGAGCAGGTGGAACAAGGTACTCACAGTTCGAGCCAACGGGGAGATCGGTAAGCTGGAGGGTGTCGCTGATGATGTGTCGTAGGTCCTGGTAAAGGGCATGGCGCAGAGCAGATCAAGGTTCCGAAAAAGCGTAAGCAGACGGGAGCGCCCATATCCCAGTCCTCTGGTACGCACCTCTCTGATTGCTCTACTTCCTCTACTCTTGAACTGTCAGCTCTCCTCACAATGATTCTTAATAGCACCTTTTGAAGCCCCTACCATTGACGTGGACAAATCTGAGTCTTCATCAGCCGAAGAAGAATTCTCGTTTACAAAGACGCGAGGTTCGGCTAGCCGCTACATCTCTATGTTGGAAGTCTTACTCACGAAGTTGTATTGCGCCCTTATTAGCTCGTGCCAAGGCCGATGACTCGTACCCAACTGGGCAGAAGGAGAGAAGCCATGAGCTCGATGGCGATGAAGAGGCAGCCAGGCACAACGGTTCTGGTGACGATGAGGATACGGACGATGAGCGACCTGAAGAACACGACTTTGCAGGGCGCATGACGGACACGCAGGTCTCACATGAGGTAAGTAACTCACTTTCGGAGTCCATTTGCTGGGGTGAGCAAGCAAGTCTCTGCGTCGACTCGGAGACTGCTAGGCTACGCACATAAGTGCCGCTGAGCTTGTTGATGATTTGTGCGGACCATGCAACAAGACGCTCCGGTTGGTTTTTGGGACCACAGGCCTATAAAGCCGACAGGAGTGGTCAGCATGCCTGTGAGGAGTTGAGCGAGATAGCAAGTCATCTACACAAGTGCGAGTATCACGAGCAGGGGCACGGTGTACACTCTGAGGTCGAGTGCCACACCAATCCGCCTGAGCTCTAGGTTTCATGAACGCCTTCGCAGAACATCCATAGAGATGTCGCTTTTTGAACGCATAAATGCAGCATACTGACCATGTTGGATGTCTTGCGGCCTCGACGTTGGCGAAGATGTTAGTCTGGATCTCACTCGTGTATGTTGCCCACAGCGTATCAACTGGACCACTGCAACTCCATCGAAGGCTCATGCTGGTATGTGCTCATTCATTCAGTACTCAACAAGCTTTGTCTTACCTCGGAATCTCGTACCCTTTTGTTAGCAGGAGAGACGTACAATGACGTTGAGCAACTGTCTGGCGTCAACGTGCAGTCGAGCCGAGAGAATCTCACCACGACGCGCCCGGTCCGGCCGCCTGCTCACAAGGCGCCACCTCCCAACGACGACGCTCAGTCTGACACTCCTAGCTCTCCACCACGCTCGAAGAAAAGGGATAAGCGCAAGGAGAAGACAAAGCAGGTACACGGTCTTTCCCCATTTTTTCTAGGCAGGCCAATGACTCGTACCCTTGTCCCATCGCGCAGAAACTTGAACAGGAGGTACGGATATACTTCTGTGTCACTCAACAGATGTTCACGCTTTACTCAGCTTCCGACCGTTACGAGGAAGCCGCCACGGGGCCAATCTGCGGCCTCTGTGCCCACAAGCGAGGATGATCGCAATTGGTTGCAACGTACTGATATCACAGATGCCCTCGCGCCCTGGAGCAGCAACAAGTGGACGGTCAACCTCAAGCCAATGGGCTCCGAAATGCACGCTGTCATGAAGCTCAGCTTCATGCTTTGTCAGATGCATCTCGTTTTCCGGGACCTCGATGACCCTCAGCTCACCGCACCAGAACAAGTTGCCGGCATTGTTACGGGTTTCGACAATGCAGGTATGAATGACTTTGCGCTTCAGGCACTCGTCAAGGCGGCAATGGACAAGGGTTACGATGGCGAAAATGACATTGTCGGTCGCCTGCTTTATGGCTCGGCAAACCTGTACGTAGACCCATTGGTTGGCTATGTACGTGTCTCCAAGTCCTACTGGAACGCTCATCACTTACTGATGTTTCCTCCAATTAGACTGCTCACCGGACGAAGCAGTACCGAACTCTTATCAAGAAGGCGGCGGCCTCTACCTTCCCTTCCGTTGTTCAAGTCTCGTCTCTTCCAGCTGCCGAACTTGAAGAATTGGGACATAATTTCATCTTCCCACGTACTGGTGCCGTTCGTATATCTCTCTCGCAATCCATACATCTAAGTTCACTGATTGTGACGTGTCAAACTCAGGGTACTTGGGACACTAAGCAGCCTTTCGCGGGTGCCGGCCTTGGGGAGACTATACGTGCAATGTTCTTCGGTACTGACCATGCACATAGCCTTGGTCTTCGGAACATCAGCAAGATGACATCGTCTTTGTCGTCGGCAGCCCGGGAGCACGAGATTCCAGCTGCAATGATTGCATTGGCGGCCACTGCGGTATGTGGTCGTGATATGCACTGACTACGGTTGAGCTTATCATGCACTGCAGATCCATTCTGTTTTGCTCGACGCTCAGACTCCCATAACGAGCAGCAAGGGCGAGGAGTTTGCAGGCCCCGTCCTTGGAGGTGCTTATAAGGGCTATCTCGAATCTCTTCTTAGGACGCACAAGGCGAAACCTCGCAAGTATCACAAGATCACGCATCAGCTTTATATCGTCGCCACGTAAGTTATACGTTGTCATGTTAGATCATTCCATAATGTTCCTTCTTCGCAGAAATGGACGCGCAATGGTTGCGCAGAGTGGAGCCACCAGCCAGTCCGACATCATTGCACGTGTCAATTGGGACGGTGACGACTCGGACTAGTAAGTCATTGACCGGCATCATCGCAGACAAATGCTCACATGCTTGGCATTGTTTAGGAGCATTTACCTTCGTGTCCGCTGCCTGGCAGGAGTAGCTACGATGGCATCTCCCCGGTCATGAAGCCTTAGCTACAAGGCGTGCTTTCTGTTCCATAACCCGTATCTTTTACTCACTACAGCTTCTAGTGTGTACAACATACACATTCTAGTCCGTCCCCTTTGTGCTGTCACAATATTTCTCATTGTGTCCGAGTCTCTGTATCATCGCCGCGGCACTATCCATGGCCGTGACTTATGCCTATACCGTCCTCTTACCTGTCCTTATCCGCCCTCGTAGATCGCTCATTTTGGACATTTGTCTCCCTGTATTACATTAATCGCACACTGTCATACAGACAGTAATAGTATATGTACAGTCCTATCCGGTGTGCACATCCATGCAAGGCTTCGGAAAGCATACAAAAGCAACATTATAAGCATGAAAACCCATTATATATCTCCGTGTATGTCTGTCGTTGCTTGTACAACACGTCAGATTTCAAGAAAAATCGTCGAAAGCACTATGATTCTCAGGGGGTACTTTTTCTTCTCCTGCATTCAGGGGATCTGTGAAATCCATGGAATGTCTCGCGTTTTCTAGTAATTGTGAGCAATCCTTTCATATTCCGAGAGGAAGGATTTCCTGATGTTACTCGTTTCTGGTTGTTTGGCACAATGATCAGCGATGCGCACGGGGCGTGCATGTTCGTCGATCTCACCGCACACTTTCTGGCTCAGATAAGCGTCGACGAGGCGACTGCCGTTGGGCGGCTCATTCGCGAGACTCTCATCAAGGCTAGGAAGGACGTGGAGTGAGGGTGCGGTTTCAGGCAGTCGGCTCGGAGGGAGACCGAAACGCGTGATTAAAGCTTTGCTGAGAAGCTACCAACGCCGCACACTTGGGGCGGGCCGTTTGGGCGCAGGCGCGAACACGATGCTTATGAGCGGTAATGATCCGGACGATGGAGGAGAGCGGCTTAGCGGATGCCTTGTCAGCGGTGACGTACGATTGTATTGTATTGTGCACCGGCTGACTTCAAATCTGTACGGTAGGTACACTGCCATACTCCGATCTCGGGGGCAACGCTGTACAGTACGAATATGTGCTGTCTCTTCCGTCGCGTGGCAATCATGAAGGCGGAGATCGCTGTATGGTCTCGACCTGGTGACTTTGGCTATTTCTGTTGACACGCTGACGTATCATACGCCTATCCTGCTAGGATTACATGTCATACGCGCTCAACAGACATGGAGGATACTTAGTCTATTCAGCCTGGGGTGTCCAGCAGATCCGCCACTCCCCGAATCAAAGTCCACAAGGTATGTCCGTACCTTCTACTGGAACGATGTCGCGCATATATCTGATAACAACTGTCCCATTCAGTGCACCAGACGCTAACGTCTTTCCATCGGGGGAGAACGCTATGGCGTTGATCGGATCCTTGTGCTCCAAGAGTGCCTTTATGCACGATCCATCGTCCGTCCTCCACACCCGTACGGTTAGGTCAGCTGACACCGACGCAACGTACTCCCCGCACGGAGAGAAGCAGGCTTTGTTGACGGGGGCGGTGTGCCCTTCGAGGGACAAGACCATGGCTCCGCTGGATGCGTCGCAGATTTTCACTGTCTTGTCCTCTGATGCTGACAGGATGCGTGTGCCATCAGATGAGAACGCCACATCGAGTACAGCACGCATGTGCCGCTTCGAGGCTGAAAGCATCTCTCCCGTCTGCACATCCCAGATCCGGACAACACCTCCATGGGCTCCGGTAGCGAGGCGCGTGCTCCGAGGATCGAATGCTGCGGTGAACGAGGAGGTCTCTGTCTGAAGGACCTTGTGCACTGTGCCGCCGCCGATATCTACTATGCAGCAACCATCGGAGCCTATCGACGCAAGCCACCGTCCATCAGGCGAGAAGAGGAGATCGTGGCGATGGTCCGTCTTTAGAGAAGAATCCAGCAGACGGAGCAGCTGGAATGTCCGAGCATCCCAGAGCCTCACAATCCCGCCCTTGGATCTGGACGCGATCACAGTTCTGTCCGGGGACCAGGCACATCTGTCGAGCTCTTCGGTGTGCTCTTCTAGTATCCTAGCCTTGGGAGTACCTATCCCCGGCATGACATCCCAGACTACGAGTCTACGGTCTCCGCCACCGGATACAAGATGTTGGCCGTCAGGGGAGAATGCCAGTGATTTTACCGATCCGGAATGGGCGATCCATTCCTGGACAAGCTGCCCATCGGAGTCCCAAAGAATGATGGTGCAGTCCCAAGATGCAGTCGCCAGCCACTTGCTATCTGGGGAGTATGCGAGGCACTGGACGCGATCTTCGTGGCCGACGTTTTCAGGAGCTATGCAGGCAGTGAGTCCACTTCGGACAGTTGTTGTGAGGTACGGCGATACTAACCCGGCTCCGACACAATGGTGAGCAGCCCACGACTCGCTAGGTTCGGAAAGTATCCGTGAAATTCTTCAGACCAAAGCTTGAGTCGTCGAGGATGGATGGAGAGTGCTTCCGACTTCAACACGAGGTTGGGACGAGGAAAAGCGAGGAGGATCCGATCCAGCTCTGAGCATAGACGCAGGTTGTCTACGTCACCGCGTACGTGTTCCACGACGCTGCTAGGAGAAGAGAGAATTTGTACGGTAACATCCGCCAAGCAGTCCGAACGGATGTCCTTCAGTGCCTCGATAGCTGTCTTCATGACATTCTCGGAGGGGCGCCATATCCGAATCGTTAGGATACGGAGCTTAGGTAAACGCGTTCCTGATTTGTGCATGCATCGATAATTTTTCCTCTACCCTAGAAACGTCGTAGGACGAGCAAAGAATGTGCTTACCTCGAGGTATGACTTGGGTACCTTTGATCCAAAGGCTGAGGGTTAGACTCTCCATTGCCGAGGGTGCCGATTCCAGTAACAGCCTCGCCATCACCTCCCCTGTGTATTCGTCTATCTGTGCGTGGCGGTTGGCACTGGTTTATTTATAAGCAGTACTGAACGGCACTCACCTCGAGTATACGCAGACGTAACTGTTGACTCAGGCGCTGTTGGATCTGTGCTAGTTGTGCGCTGGTACACATTGTGCTACGAGTCTCGAGGAGACGGCAGGACAGCGTTTGGAGGCCAGTGAATGCTAGTAGTAGTCGGCAAAGCTCTTGAAGGTTCGAAAAGGACGTATTGTAGAGATTCAGAGCTTCGATGCGTGTCCCCGACGCCCGGTAGCATGCCAGAACAGGTTGAGGAAGGCTGCACGCCGGATGCAAGTATCCTATGTCCCGATCTTCTAATGTTATATGGGTAAGGTTTGGGAGGAAACGGAGCAGGTGGAAGGCCAGATGAGCATGGCGAAACGTTCTGATCGATCGTACGAGGGGACGAAGATGAGGGGAGGTATTGAGAAAGTCACGGAAAGCCAAGATTTCCGCTGTCTCCTTGAATTCGTGCCTCACCTCGGCGAACATGAGACACAGACTGCCAGGGCGGAGGTCTCGGCAAGTGAGGGAGAAGCTGTGGAGAGTCGTCCGGTGGTCGCCAGAGTAGCTGATGATGCTTTCAATGACCTCCCAAGGGAGGCGAGGAGAGGCGGACATGGTGGTCGACTCGAGGGCGTCTTCCCTTCGGTCCAACACGATAGCGGTGGGCGCATTGGATGCGGACATCGCGTCATGCTAGGCACTACTCCTCCCGTCCTCTCCGGACGCACAGGAACGGACACAGTGGCAACAAGGTTCAAATCCCGCAGAGCCTTGCCATGTTCACTTGAAGACATGTGCCACACCTAAGGCAGGACCCCGACCCCCTCCATTAGACTAGTTAGTTGGACATGGGAATGTGATCTCAGAGACCGCTCTCTAGCGAATAGAATCCTAGGAATCTATAAATAAATACTTCCCAATTCACTTTCCGGACTCACAACGTTCGTTGAGACGTCCTACCGAGTGTTGACTGGAACGTGAAAATGAACGGTGAGGGACCAGACAAGTTAGTCCGTCGGTTTACTAAACGAGGGGTCGCATCGGAAAATTCAATCGATGGCCGAGGGACTTTGATCCATACCCACTCCCTTCCTAGGGCCCCCGTCCATGTACTGATCGCCGTTAGGCATGGATCCTGACCATCCAACACTCCCTGCCCCTGCTACCCCTCCTCGGAGGCCACCTAAACGCTCCAATCAATTCGTAGGTGATCACTTCGATAGCCCGCAGAGACGCCGGCGGTGGCGCACAGACTCCGAGGTTGTCCTTCGACCAGAACTTCCTTTGTTGGAACACCAATTATCAGCAGAGCTAGAAGGGTTATGGAAGACTTACGACAAATCTCGGCGCAGTGGCTGTGACAGTGGCACACCTCGGCCTACCAGCCCCCTCGGAGAGGACATGTGCATGGATCTACCTACGTTGTCTGGCGAGGATCAGCATCTCGAGGATCAGCCTGGCGATCTTCCTCCCTTGGATGCACAGAACGAAGCCTTCCCCAGGAGGGTACTTCCAGATGACGCTGCTTACCGGTTGTATTCCAACTGGCTTGTCCTTATCCCTACCCTAGTCGACCAGTATCTGGACTATATGCAGCAAAGCCAGGGTCGTCTTGGTCGCCCTCTTGGAATTGAGGCTTATTCGTGCCCAGCGGGACGTTGCATCCTCAAAGAGTGGGAGATCCTCTGCCTGCACGTTGATTGTGTGTCACCGTCACCTTAGTTACCTCACATCAGCAAATGTGCGAAACCGTGCCAGCGGCAATGCCACGCATGCCCAGAATTGTAACGCCAATATTGGCAAGCAGCGGATTGGAATACATAAGCTCGCCATTGTCAACCTTGGCGGGGCGAGGCGATTTATAAGGCCGTCGGGGAGTCTGTCAGCAATGACATTGCATACAAGAGGCACGCCACATATATATCATACAATAGTCATTCTTTGACATGTGTATAGAAATGTAACCACATGTGCACAGGGCCAGGTGAGACCGGATTCACGGAGGCCTCTACATTCGCTGTCGCTCAAATTGCCGGGCGCTCAGTGCCTTCGCCCGCGGCAACACTCCACCACCTTGCCCATCACCACTACCACCGTCTCTCGTCGTGTACCACTTTCCCCCAACGCGTTTCGACCGGTCTCTCTCCTGCCAGATGAATCTCACACTCAGGACAAGCAAAGTCTCCTTCAGTCCCCCAAGTCCACGACGACTCGCATGTCCAGTGCACGATCAGTGTCTGACGCTACTGCGTCACCATTCAATTTATCCATACCTCCATCCAATGCGATTGCGAAGCCCCTTTCTCCTGAAGGTGGGTAGGAGGACGTTGTTGGGACGATCAAAGAAGCAAGCGCCGTCTCCTCAAACAGCATATCCACGGTACGCGGTTGTCCTGGCCGGTAGAGCGTTGGGTTAGGGTCAAGGCAGCAGATCGTGGCCCAGCTGCAAGACATTGGCACGCGTGATGTCATAGCTCACGACCTGTCATGGTCTTCGTCTTTTCCTCAAAAGCCTGGGCAAGCACGCAGATAGCTCATTGCTCCTTTCCTTGCCTCTTCTACTATCAAGCTCATCGCCTACTCGAAGAAAACCCACCATTGCGGACCTGACTAGTCCAGTTGCTACAGCGGTCAGCGGAGTACCCCTCGCACTCCAGTCGGTTGGTCTCGTGTGCACGGCCAACGTTTCACTTACGATGTCCGTGTTCACCCTCACACTGACTACTATACTTGGCGGTGTCTGCCCTTGGACGGTCGGTCGTACTGCCTACTCTCTACCAGCTATGGTTCGTGCTGAGGCTGCTCAAGCCCTTCACGGCGCATATCCTTCGAGGACGATGGACGCTGCTGCCGCCCACTGGCCTCTGGTCACTTGTCACTTGTCTTCTACTTGACCTTAACTACTGTCGCTATCTGGGAATCTGCAGAGAGCGCGTTTGACTCCATCGTAGAGGTTCGTACTGTTCCACCGAGAATTCCGAGTCGCGCTAACGGTCAGGTAAGTCCATCTGTGTTTCAGCGCATACAGCAAACCCCGGCCTCACATTGGTGTCAGGCATCACGTCCACGGATCTATACCTCAAGCACTTTGCATATGCCAAGCTGGGTGACTTCGCGACTGAGGAGTTTTCTGCAGCTGCGCAGCGCCGCTCAGCCTTGTTCACCAACCAGAGGTACAATTCGAACATGTGGTCAACGCTGTCCCGCGAGGCCCTGCTCACGCTCAGACGCGACTCCCAGGTCTCTTCCTCCGCAGAGGCCAGCAAGCGCCTCCATGTACGTCCCGTTCTCTCTTTCGTCCCTCCAGTCTCCCTGTCTCACCATCCCCCGCTCCCACGTCGCCGCTGCATCTGGCACCCAAACCCTCCACCTCCCGCCTGGGCCACGTCACGCACCTCCTCCACGCCTCAGTCTGCAAGACCGTGCAGTACTCCCCGCTCCGCACCCCTTGTGCTCAGTGCTGCCCTTGACCCCGCCGACGCCTGCAAACGTGGCAATCGAGATGGCGAAGAGAGCGGAGGAGAGCATGTGTGGCTCGTCAGTGAAACCAAGGGCGTAATGCACTGTACGTACTGTGCATAAAACATGTTCAGCCGCTCACCTGTCAAGCGTTGCAGTGCTCCATACAACATCGGCATTGGCATCTACGTCAAGATTCCTCAGATGCATGGCCCCTCGTCTTCTTCGTCTGAGTCGCCCTTGCCTCCGCCTAGTCAGAACAACTACACTCCTAGGGCATCTCATCCTTCACTTCCCCAGTTGTCGCCGAATTCGTCACCTGTGAAAGTCGACGACTCTGAGGCAATCAACAGTGACCTTGATGATTCAGATCCAGATAACGCACAAGAAGAAATCGAGGGCGGTACCGCGGATTGGTCCAGTCATCCTTGCCCAGGGAGCATGTTCCATTGATAGTGGTGACCTCGTTGACCTCCAACACGCTGATGTCCACTTCGGTGTCTCCCTTTTGGTGTCTTCCTTCTAGCAACTGTTACGGCCTCCGGTCTCAGTTTTTGCCAGCATCCTCCTGTTGTGCGCTGCGCTTCTGCCCTCTGTGCATGACCTTCATGCTCCCTCGCTTGCACCTCATCGCCGTTCTTCGCTCTCACTGCTGTCGTATTGTACATGCCCCAAATGAATATTATCTATCATATCTTTTCATGTGTGATATTGTGCCCAATGGTCAGAACGTGTGCCTGCAACAGACCTGCATTGTCAACGCCCTCCCTGACCATCCATACAATGATATTGGCATGGTAACCCCCCGCTCACATGATAATCCCTGGCCAAGCGTGCCCATGTGTTCCAGTGCAAGCTGATTGAATATAATGACAGCGCAATATAATATGATGATAACAGGATTTCAGCTCTCATATCTAATGCCATTACACCGTCCATCTTGCCAAGATTAGCGTTATAATAAAAGGCTATATAGCCTTTCCTTATATTGCCATTACAACCAGCATTACAGTGCTTCGACATTTTTACTGATGCGCCTGTGTCTTCTCACTTGTAGCTTCGTAGACTTGGCAACTGTCAAGTTTCAGACTTGCAATTGCGCCACACTCCCACAAATCCTTGTCCGCAATGGATTGTTTCCCACCGCACCACTTCAACCTTGCATCGCTGTCTCAATAGACCTGCTGGACTTCTATTCCGCGCTCTTTGATCGTTGTGCAGACGCGGTCACTGCTCTTGCTGGGGCGCTCAAGACAATGTATAGCCGTCGGGGCTTTCCCATATTAAATTCTAAGGTGCGCATAGTGCTCTCCACTTCAACGCGTTGAAGCACTCACCCAAAGTGGTGTGACACTAGAATGAACCCGTTCAAGACCCCTTCCAGCGGGGGTTAGGGCAAGCCATACAGTGGTATGATGCTCTTCGTCGCCTCCCCGACGACATGGTTGAGAAGGCTCTCAATGAGTGTGTGTCACTTGTCACACTGCAACAAGTGTACTCTACACGGGCTTACGTTTCAGACGAAGAATTGCATGGTCAGGCTCTCAGTATAGCTCTAACATGGACATGAATTGACCAAAGTACATAGGTCGCAGGCATCCCCACGGACTCACAAGTGAATGTGACGCTGAACGTTGGGGTGAACGCTCCGCTGAGCGTTCTGGTGAGCGTTCTGGAGAACGTCATTTGGCCGATAGACATTCAGGCAACCGTGACGGCGAACATTCAAGGGAGCGTTTGGATGAGCAGTCAGACCTGCTCCGACGGCCTATGCATGAAGCTACAGAGACTGGCTCTTTGGCCGCTGGTTCATGTAGCCGCGTGCTGCAACAGAGATGCCCGGCTTGCTTTGGCGGAACACTATTTGGGCGTTCTTTTGACGGGTGTGATCATCTATCATCACGATTTCCCCTAGCTCACGCAGCACAGCGATGGCGGAGACATCCATGTGGCAATCGATGCAACCTTCAGCCAACGCCACAACGTCGCTGCAGATGACAGCCCCTGGTTTTACGAACCAAGATATTTCATGCCTAAGGACAAGGTCGATGCGATCGATGCTCGAATTACTGCTGCCCGTAACAAGCCTCCGCGTCCACACAAAAGCGAGGTCCCTGACACAGCTCTCGATGAATGCGAGAAGTCGTATGAGGCTGCGGACGAAAAGAAGGAGAAGACTCTCGGGTCGAAGTTCGATGACACAGGCCTGATGGCCTTGGTATGTCGCCATGACGTAGTCCTTTTCCTGGTGAACATCGACACAGCCGGAGAACAGCAGAAATACGGAGTTGCGTTGGTGGACCATTTATTCACCCTACTTCCAGAGAAGGCTACAGTAGTTATATACTATGATATCGGCTGTGTGCTAGATCAGAGTCTTCGTCGAGTACGTAATCCAATCTTTGGACTCGGACGATGAAAACTGATTTCTGGATCGGCACACCCCTAGTTCGATATACTCCCTGACAGTATGATGAGCCGATTGTTATTCGCAACCTCAGTCATGCACGCATATGGACACCAGTGGGCGTGTCAGCTGGTGTACAACCCTAGGTTGCGAGTTGGCCTCGGTTTGACAGAAGGGGAGGGCACAGAGAGAATCTGGTCGAAATTCCGGAAACTCATAGGCGTGACACGTTCATCTGCGGTATGCTCACAGGTACATCACATGTTATTTTGCTGAACTGATATCCCAGCGCAATCGACGTATCTGGATGCTCGATTGACATGCCGACATTGTGAATGCAGCTGTCCGTGAGAACCTCAGCGGCTGGATACGAAGTCGATTGAAAAATGGCATCGACGCACGCGCAAAGGCTGCAGAAAAGGATCTCTGCAAGATTCAGGTTCCAGTCACCGAACTCCGTGAACAGTGGTCGCAGCAACAGGTCGCCCAGTTGTCTGTCAGAGCGCGTAGGTACCCGCAATCCGCTCCCACTGGCTTCGTACCTAATGTCTGTTTAGATGCTCCTTCCAGGCTAAAACGGAAGCTTGATGCAGTCCTTAATTTACAGACCGAACTCAATGCGATCGACAGCTATTTCCAGCACGTGCAGAAGGCTATCTCCCAAGAATCGGACAATCCTGAAGTCTTCCATTTCCTTGACTCTCTGAGGCGAACTCACGAAAAGACTCTCAGCAAGGTTGAGGGGCTGTACACCTTGCTCAATGTAGCGGGCTCATTCCCCGAGATTCAAGGGCTACCCCTCGAATTCGTCCGCACATTGCTGTTGGCTCGGGACTTGAAGATGAATATTCGTAAACAAGCGATAGGGACCTTCTTTGAATGGGACAAGCTTGATCGGGCGGCCTGGGGGTCGCGATCAAGCCCTAGGTGATCCAGTAACCCACTCACCATTGTTTAATACCCGTGCTAACTTTTAGTAGGAACAAAGCTCCATCAACAGACCCGCAAAGCGATATCAAAGCGGACGCCTGCGCTAATGACCGCGATCCGTAAGTTCAACAAGTATCGGGCCGAATTAGCCAAACTTCATGACCCCGCATGGAACTTTCCTCTTCCTAATTCATTGCCGGAGGAATTGAACGCACCGCGAGACGATGTGGGTCTTCTGACTGATGTCTGGGTCACGAGAGTATCTCCGACCGTTCCACGCTGGCTTGACGACACTGATATTCGCACTGGCATACGAGCGGTCCTAGCCAAGGACAGGTGCGAGGAAGAACATCGCACACTAGAGATGGAAGCGAATAACCTCTGTCGAACGTACGGGCTCAACTTGGCCGCTGTCGAACTTGCCATACGACTTCCTGCCAGTATGTATATGTACTTGCTTCGTTACTAGCAACACAGACTTACGACTCTCAGACGCCTCAATTCTGTTTCTTTTGAAACAGCAGAAGGAAAAGCTCCTCCTGTTCCGTCACCGTTGGCGGAGCCCGCTTGTACCCGATCTTCGGCTCCAGTCACTGACTGTAGAAGCAGCTCGACTTGCACAAGACCTTTCCGGATTGCATGAGCCAGCCCCACTCAATTGGGTCCATGTTGATGTCGCCCAAGAATGGGAAGACAATGTCTCCGATTTGCCTGAGGTTGGGATGGATGAGGAGGCGGCCATAGCTCATGACGTCCTTGAGTTCCTCAATAGTAGTGAACAGGCTCATGGTGACACGCTAGCCCCCAGCGAAACCAAGAGCAATGCTGACCTCCTCAGTTCACCCGCCCCCATTGTTGCCCTCCCAATGTTGGAGCGTGAGCTATGGTTGTCGAACAGCAACCCGGTATGTACAAGTGCGCTGTATGAACAGTATTGTTCTCACGTCTTCCCCTGCAGTTCAAAATTCGTCGGGAGACTTCGATCGCCCTTCCCCCTCCACCTCACACCATGCCCCATCGAGCCAACCAGTCACGTACCATTCTCCCAACCGCCGAGCACAAACGTGGCATATTCTTCAGTGCCGAGGACCTCAACCGATTCCTGCAGCGAAGCGCATGGCTCAACGACGAATGCATGAATGGCGGTGCAAGGGCCATCATGCGGCACCTTGGAACTGCTCAATCACGCGGTGACCCAGCGTTGTTCTCCACCTGGGTTGCATATTTCTCCACCTGGGTATATGCAACCCATCTCTCGGGGGATGATGATGATCTTTGGCGGTGTTGTGGTTGCGCTGCCGACTTCTGGAACAAAGACGTCTGGCTGGTCCCGATTTATCGGAACAGGAACCATTGGACTCTAGCTATCGTGTATTGGCAAAAGACCCGCATTGCTTACTTTGACAGCTTGATTAGTGCAGCCTCGTTTGAGTCGGACGTGAAGGTATGTTTAAAATGACCTCTATCCAGGACAATCTCACTCACGTCGACTAGATTGTATTTGCTCTACTGCATTGCTTGCGGCGACTGGCGGGAGAGCACAGTCTGCATACACCCGATCTAGACGGTGAATGGAAGGCTTATCCCCTAGAAGTATGTAATCTTACCCGGCCCAAATGATATGCATGCTAACCTCCGAGAAAGGCATCGCCACTTCAAGACAACAGCTGGGATTGTGGTGTCTGGGTGCTTGCCTGTATTGCAGCAATCCTTCAAGGCCATACCACTGTCGGTCTCTCGACGGAGGATATCGGTGAATTTTGTAGGAGGATGGTGGGTCTCGTATATGCCGCATCTGAAGTTTCTAGTTAGATGATCGCGTTCCTTCAGTAGCAAGCACAACACGCAACCTAAATTGACCCGTAAATGTGTTTTTTGTGGGATGCAATTGATATTTGAGCTACAGGAAGTACATGAGGACTCGTACGGATCACACACGGGCTAACTGCCCCCGCGTTAGGCTTCTGAGAGCATCCGCAATAATCCCCCCATTTCCCTGTGCCCTGCAAATGAGCGTCTTGCGCTCTGCGAACCCCGTCTCCGAAATGGCCGAGATCGAACATATGTAAGTCTCCCACTACCTGTCGCGCGGTCTAAATACGCCCGGGCATTCGCACTCATCGTTCTGGCAGAGGGTTTCTTAAGTACATGTCTGATATTACCAACTCGGCGGTCTGTGGTGTGCTCATATTCCTTCAGGGGAGGACGTTAGTACAGGGGTACAGCCAATACGGCGCGTCGGTCGACCTTGGAAGAGACAGGGGCGCTGAATTGTGGTTGTGAATAGAAGAGGCCGACAATGAAAGAGGCCGAGAATGCCTACAATGGTGAGGAGATTATTGTCTCACCCAAACTTAGCCCTCTCAGTGGGCACCTGATTGGGTCCTGTATTGCAGGGGGCATCAGTGTGCTCACAATCGACCGAAAGCGGGGCCCGAGGAGTGGTCTGAGCGAGAACACCCACACGGGCGGCCGTCAGCCGCCTGCATGAGTGCTGTGGGGGTGCAAGCATCTGCTGTCAGTCACCAATCAAGTGATCCCAGCCGTGAAGACCCGGTGGCTTTGGCCACATGACGTGATCCTTTGGATCACCAGACCATGCCAAGGCGCTATCTTCGTAGTAGGATTCGCGACCAAAGGGTCACCATGAGGGCTTCTCCGCAATGCTCTGGGGCAATGGCAGTGGGTCGAAACTGAGACGGACCTGAGGATCGCGAGAGGATGTCGTTCCTATTAGGTCTGTTGAAGTAGATGAGATCAACAGCGAACACGCAGCTACATGCGCAAGTATAGCCCACCAGTACTGAGCCGCACTTACCTCGATGTGTGCAAACTCTGGGGGATGCCTGTGGGCTTTCGCTTGACTGCACTCACAGCTGCAACCAGCTGGGAGTTGAGACCTATGTCGTTGTGATCAGACCGTCCCACCTGGGGTGTCCCAGGTGATTGGTCGCTGAAAGCCGAACACGAGGCGGGTATTGAGCGCGTATCGTAGAAGCATTCTCACCGTTACCTCCGTCGCCTTAATGCAAGCATCTCCCCCTCCTGGTTGGTCTTCCTCGCGGTCTCGCCATGGCCCGACGGTATCTTGGGTGTTGGCGATGCCAACTCTGGACTCAGGCTATCTCTGAACCTCTCTTCGCAGGTCGGCTAGTCCATGCGGCTACGTATACATCGCGCTTCTCCACTGTACTTCTGTCCCCGGCGACGACATCTGTGGCAACCACCCAATATCGATCGAAGAGTTAGGTGGGAAGCGAAGTAGGATATTATTGTTGACCATCTACGGGCACCCGGTGAGCCCATTCACGAAGGAGGTACATACAGAGATTGTCTCGTACGCCTTCTGAGCATCTTCGGCACTAAGGCTACAACAGGCTAATCAGCTCGTCCAGAGGACAATCGTATCACATAAATGCACCTCGATCCCACTGTGGTGAGCATCCCCTTCCCCCCTCACTAGCATGGCTAAAGGGAAGCATCGCGCCAGTCGCAGTGCCGATAACGTCCCCCCGTCTGCTCCCACTCACAAAGTAGAAGAACTCTCAAAACTGGGAGAGGAGGGAGAACCAAATGCCTACACCACAGGAGAGCTTGCATCGCGCGTACTCTTGCTCGCTATCCTCTCCGAGGAAGGTATGCTTGCCTCCCGTTTCCTTGCTCTTCGGCTGCTAACCTTGCCATCGGAAGACTTGCCGCTCGAATCGCAAACCGTTTGCACGGATTGCCTTCGAATGTCTTTCGGGGGTAAACAACCTTCTGTATTAGTATAGGCTTGTTGTTGACAGTGACGTCTTTTTGTAGAAAAACCTTGTCCGCACGGCCTTCACCCTAGAGACTGTCGTGAACATCCATTTCTTGTGTGGCCCAGCCTGCTCACACCCGCTCAAATGGAGACCCTTCAGGTAAGCTGGTTCTCAGCTGCTCCCGATTGTAGTCATGACGTCATGTTTGCTCACCACGTTCCAGGGGTGGATGTCCCGTCCTGCAGCTCCTTCCATTCCACCGGAAGTGACGGATGCTGCTCGCACAACACTGCCTACCTCCCATGCTTGCGCTTGTGGTCATGACCATCGATCCTCTCGCAGTGCCGCTCGCTGCGATCAGAGGCAGCACTTGTCAACGTCGTCCATGTCGTCTGTCTCGTCTGTGTCTTCTGTAGCCTCTGACAGCACAATCTCGTCGAGCTTCAGCCTCGGGTCCCTTGCATCATCAGTTCGCACTCTGCCGCTGAGCGAGGGCAATATGAGTGCCCTCGCCACCAGTTAGCCTAGCTAGGCTCGTCTCCGCTCCCCTGACGTACAGACTGTATCCACCACGACTGCTCGCGTGTGGGAGGACTGGGGTGGTATGCGTGGCTCGTTGCCAACCCGCCCCATTGATAGGCCGGCATATCCCGCCGGCGCAAGTCCTGTCCCCACGCCGCATCCTACCACTTTCGCTTCCGCTTCCACTCCCATTTCTGCTCCTGTCCATCCCGCATACCAACCTGCCGCTCGTGCTGCGACATCCACGACCACGTTCCCTCCTGCGCCTGGCCCCCAACCTGCCCCCGTAGCTCCCGCTCCTGCCCCTGCATACACCGCTCACATTGACCCGTACAACAATAACACCAAGAACTGGTACGTTGTCATTGTCGGGCGGCGTGTCGGGGTTTTCCAGAAGTAGTAAGTAGCTCAAACCTACAGTGGCTACGGTGTCTAACCGCGTGTTGTAGTCAAGACATGTTGGCCGCGACCAACAAGGTATCTGGTGGCAGCTACTTCAAGCACAACAGCTACCAAGAAGCTATAGCTGACTTTCGTTCAGCTAAGGAGGCCGGTCTCGTCCAGCAGCGGTGATTGGCGACCCTGATTCGCCAGACCTCGGGAAGGCGGCAGTTGGTCTCCTTTAGCTAGGCGGTGTTTGTTTGATCGCGTCCTCATGTCCTCGTGTCCACGCTCGTGAGAATGTCTCTGCTTGTATATGATTGTACTATAGTCGGTATGTTGTTGTCGCATTACGGTGTGATGAAGTCAACATCGTTATCGGCTCTCACCCCGTTTGCTCTCCTCGCTCTCGTACTCTGCCTAATCTATCCAATGGGGCGGCGTGCGAAGTATCTCACAGTCTCCGAACGGCAGGCAGCGAAGCAGGCGCAGCACACGCGGTATGACAGGAGTTCGCGGTAAGAGTTATAGCCATTGTTTCCGTATCGAGTACTACTACGCTGGACCAGGGGTAAAGCCATGCGAGCAGCGCGCGGCCGTAGCCAACATCCGACGGCTGAGACGCACGAACACAGGGAGGCCCTTGAAGGGCTTCAACTACCCACGGACCTACGCATACGAGCCGCGGCGCCGTTTATGTTCTCATTCGGCTTCAAAGGAGACAGTGGTCCCGATTTCGGACTCAACACACCGCCATATGGTCTCAAATCTCCAACTTCACGAGAGTTGCAGGACTTGACGAATTTAGACGGGCCGGAAACTCTGGCCGTCAAACTGCACACACTCCAATATACCTGGATGATAGACGCGGGATACCGAAGACGATTGGAGTGGTCGACGAAGGACCTTGCGGAGGTGACAAGGCTTGCTATGGATGAAATCCTGTCTAGACTTGATGGGTGGAAGCAGATTCTCAAGGCGGAAGCTGAAGGATCTTCGGAGAATAGCTGGATGATCACCGACATAGCTATCACTTGGGGGGCACGGTGGATACAAGGGTTAGTGGATGAGCTAGAAATCAGATGTCAGGGACAGGACGCATATGAAGTGGCAAACGAACGGGCTGAGTTACCTTGGCAAGCCATGATCCGCTTCGCCAGGAAACACTACGCAGTATCATATGTCTCAGATGATGAAGAGACAGAGTAATTAGTATGTTGTTTCAAAGCATACACCGTCAATGATTCATTTTTCATAGACTGTCTTGTGAGCAGTCGGAAGTCACACCATTATTCGTTCTCTGATTCGCCAGTATAGAATGGCAGCATTGGCGCTCTATTTCTGCCTCCATTGACCGAATTGACAACACCTTGGCTTTCCCCACTCATGCCATTAAATCTGACGCCAGTACACGGACATCCAGCTCCTTCTGCTCGGTTACGCTCGGCAACACTTTTTGCCATTCCCCTTCTCCGAGCTCTGCAGTTTTGTTGGAATTCCACTGGATACATTGCCAATGAGTTGTATCGGACAACAGTACGTAGTGTTAGAGGGGACAAATTCCCAATGTGCGGCTCTCCGTTTACAACTCGGCGCACGAGTACTCCTGACTGATTCTGCAGGTCCAGCGGCACTATCTGATGGAAGAATCTCTGTGGTGCCCACGAGTTCCCCTGACCGCGTTTATGGGATATAACTTGTCAGTTCTGAACGCACCCTACCTGGCGCTCTATGATGTTATGGAAGCATGCAACGTGTAGACTCCTGGGTCGCCCACATTCAACCTAAAGGTGTGCTCTTTGTCAATTTCTGGTGCATTGTTGTCAGTCGCTGTCTTCTGTTGATACTTAGCCAAAACCGGAGTTGCATGTGTCTTGAAAGTTTTCATAGTCAGGTTGCTTCTCGGTCAGAGATCATAAACACTGGCACCTCCGCGCTCCATCGGCAGATCACTCGTCCCCTCACTCCGTCCTTGCCGTTGTTACGATGGGCTTCCGAGCCAAGTTCCAGCAGGTCCTCGCTCACTTTCCCGTCCTATTCGACATAGACAGACGCAACGAGCCTCAGTTTCCCCCTGTCCACCCTTACTATAACGTTGCCCTGGAGGCATTTGAAGGCGATTCAACTTCCAGCTTCTCCGCGACCACTCATACTCGGCCGCAAACATGGGACATCCTCCCTACCTACGGCATCTCACAAGCGGCTGAGCCGGAGATTTGCGCCGCTCCCATACTGTCTCCACTGGAGGGCTGTTCTCGTTACATCCCTTTGGTTGCTGCCAACGGTGCCACAACTCAGCCTGCTTTCGACATCACCGCACGACAAGTCGGCGAGTACAGCGGCCACTATATCCATTGATTCCTCAACTCAATTGGTTCGAACTTGCTTCCACGTACACATGCTCAGGTTGAGGTAAGTCGTCCGATGTCGGCCTGAACTTGTAACTAATATCTGACCAACCTTGTCACCATCTAAGACGGAAAGTTATCCCCAATGGCTTCCACACGCCGACGACTATATGGCCGAACTCATTCGGCTGGAAGGTCGCGGGGATGACATCAGTCACCAGTGTGGTCAATGCTGTGACCTTCTCCCCGATGGGACCGGTCTCCGCTGCGAGGACTGCCACCATCACGGCTTGTATTGTGTTCACTGCTGCGTAGAGATACACTCTGATCTTCCGTTGCATCATATCAAGGTGTGTATGTCCAAGTGTTTCTCGCTGGTGTTGGGCTACTGACCAGGATTGTATCAGAGATGGACGAAGAGCCACTTCCAGTCAGAGACACTCAAGTCTCTGGGCTTGCGTCTCCAGTTCGGCCATGCGCCTGGAGAGCGATGCCCCTGTCCAGTTCACGTCGAGTCATTCATAGTACTTGATATGACGGGTATCCATGATGTACGTACCTGGTTTTGCGGGTGCAATGCAGCCCAGGCGCCATACGTCCAGCTCCTTCGTCATTCTTGGTTCCCTGCAACATCCAAAAATCCTCGCACAGCAGCAACTGTTTGCCTGCTCAAACAGTACAATATCCTCTCCGCTATGTCTACTGTGACTGCAGCGGAGTTCTACCGGTATTTGGAACACCTGACGAATAAAACGGGTTTGGACCCACCGGCAGTAAGTTGCTCTTATGTCTCGTCTCACAGTGTATGTCTCTGACGTACTACCCATCAGGACCACCTACAGTCCTTCCTTGTGATGGTTCAAGAATGGCAGCATCTCGAGACGCTCAAGCGGTCTGGGCAGTACAACTTTTCAGGAAGTCCCCATGTCTCACGTATCAATTGTCCCGCGTGTTCAAATGAAGGGATCGAGTGTACCCGTCAAAAGTATGCATGTCTGATCATCTGTGTATGTCGTGGCCTGTTGAGAGCGTCCTTGCACAGCGAAATGGACCGCCTTTGGCAGGCCGTCGACTCATCGAGGGACAGAGAGTTGCTGAGAGCGAGAGATGTGTCTTACAATATTATTGGTGGGTTCTTGCCGGTTACAGGAAGGATACACCACTTACTGTCGGGCAAAGAAGGTTCGTATCATGACGGTGATAGCCTCTGGCGTAGTCAAACTGCACCTGTTGATGGAAAGCGACCACCCGGTGTCACGACCATCAGCTGTCCCCACGGCTTCAGACGCGCGCTCTGTGTCCCCAACTTGCCATTGCCCAAGCGGTGCGTTCTTACAACATCAGGACTCGGCACCGACCTTGCGCGGTCGCACTCACTTCTTCCACCCAGCCGTGTCAATATTCAATGCCCTTCTTCCTTGTCTGTCGCTACAACCACGAGCTACAATGCCCGGTGCAATTTCTCAAGCGAGTCCATCGCGTTCACGAGCGAGCGACGTCAGGCAATTTACGACATTGACCACAAGGTCACCAAGCACGTGTGGGATGCCATAGAGGGTCAGGACGGACAGTATCTTCAAGACTTATACGAATGTGATCTGGGGACTTGGAATTGGGGACGGGTCATATCGCTGCGTATGTGCTATCTCACCCCTTCCTATCATGATCTACACTGCTAATACATGTATCGATACTCGGATCACAGCCGCGGATCTTCTCCAACGTGCTCAGAGCATCCTTCCTCCGTGCAACCACGATACTCAAGTCTACTGAGCCCTCACGCAGGCTATTCCGGTGCAGTTCACGCAGCTTTGGCTGCAGAAGGTCATAGACTGGGAGAACGATCCCACGAAGACGTCGGACCCATTTGAGCTCCAGCATTCGCGTATGTGATTGTTTCTTGGAGACTACAGCACTTCAATAATCCCTCGGCTCTTGTAGATCTGCCGGAGAAATGTGTCCGTGCTGAACTGGTAGAAGAAGACGTATCCGCTCCCTACCGTAGTCAGACTACACTCTCTCAGGAGAGTTTGACTGCGAATTAAGCAATCGTCGCGGGGCTCGATCTCGAAGAAGAGCAGTGAGTTTGTTGCAGCATCACCATTGTTGACTATCTCTCATTGCGTTGCTCAGACGAGAGCTTCGCGCTCAGTTTGCCGCGAATGGGTATAGTAAGAGCGATGCCTGTCGGAGGCAGCTTCTCGAGCGACAGCATCTGCTCCAACGTCGAATTAAGGCGTGGTATGATGCTGAGCAGCGCCTCATACCAGGGGTAGCATGGCTGCGGACACATTCTGCGTACAACATCCTCTCAGCCCCCTCCCAACATCTTCATTTACTCCTCCCCTCCGCCATTTCTTCGAGCACCACAGTCCCCAATGCCATCTTAAGCTGCGAGTGGCGTCTCCGGGAAGCTCAGGCCTATGACGCCCTTGCGGATATACGTGGACATGTCGAGGTGCTCACGTATCTCCGTGCCGAATGTTCATGTGACGTGGATCTGAAGACACATATAGGCCTCTTGAATGTCGCCGTAAGTGCAATCCAGGCCGAGATCCGCATCGTCGTTGACCGTTACCGGGAATCCTACAATGCCTTGAAGATGCTCGCCGCCGCTCTTGGTAGGACCGACTGGCAGGGCACGCTGAAGGAGCTTCACGACGAGGACATTCAGTACATCCGAGCTGCAGGCGACGTCAGTTCTTGGATTTGGAACTTGGGCGGCACTAAATTCCTCAAGGCCGAACACCAGCTTGACATTCGTCAGAACAAGAACCTGCTTCAGGGTAAGTAGCTCATTGTCTTATTCATACTCCTCTGACGCGTCTTTTGCAGCGTTGCGGGTTGCATGGTGTAGGGCTCGGGCTCGGGCGCTGAAGAGCACGTCAGAGTGTGAGACGCTGGAAGCCGAGTTGCACCGCGTTGTGGCTTATCACGCTCGGCAAGTGGCATGGCGGGACGAGCAGATACACCGCAACTTCAATGATCGTCCTGACTACTATGAGGGAGCAAATGCCTATGCTTACCAGCAGATGTCCCTCCATTGTTCGATGCAAGAGCAATGCGCCATGTTGTGGCGGGCGATAAGGGACCTGATGGATGGGGCTGACGAAGGTGGTTACGATGTTTTCCCTCTCTCCCACAAGCTGTCAGAGTCGCCGGCGTCGCCGACCCTGGCTTGCACCGTTTCTGTAGAGAATGGTCCTAGCAAGTCGCGAGGAGAGGAGATCGAGATCGTGGAGTTGCGGTAGAACTGGCAGTACACCGGCACGTCTCAGCTTCCTCTTCGTCTCAGGTAATTCCTCTGTATCTTGGTTCGCCAGCTGTCATCATCTCGCCACACGTTCGTTTATAGTGATTTGATGTACTACTCATGTTAATGCAATGATTGCTCGTGGCATCGCGCCATGATTGTGTGGTATTCGCTATCTTGCGAAGCGGATCCAAAGCTCAGTGTATTGCCTTGCTGCCTGAGGATAGTCAATAGTCCTTGATCTCGTTATTCGGGGAGTGTGCCTTGGCAAGATGCGGCCTCAGCCACGAATCCGGGAGCACACCTCAGAAGGAGATATGTAATGTCACTTCGCAAGACGCCGAGGGTGTGGCCGATATGTTGTCACCAGTGGCATAACATCAAGCGCTACACTCCTTTCCCTGCAACACTATGAGCACATGCAGTGTTTTGGACAGTCTACCCCTCTTGATCCTCTATCGGTTGGTCTGTTTGTATCGACAATATCATCCTAGCGGTGCACGCTTCAGTCAGCTCCTTCGACGAAGGATAGATGCAGGGAAGGAGAACTATGTAGCGCCCGCTTCAGCTATCCGGTTCAAAAACAGAACTTTATTGTGCGTGCCTTCATTTGTAGCTGCGTTCCCCGTATCTCAAACGGGACCAGGGACTCAGGTCACCACATTGAGTGTCCGGCAACATCCGGCTGACCCGATGTGTGGCAAGGGCAATGTACTCAGATATGCCCACCGAGATTTGATCTGTCGCGGTGAGGGGTCGTCCACGCCATGGCGAATCATCAGGTAAAGCCCTGCGAAACAATGCGCAGGTTATATGCAAGTGAGCGTACAACCGTCGATTGTGTCACTGCTACCAATAGGTGATACATTTCAGATGGGTACGCTGTGGTCGTGCTTCGGGCTGACTTCATCTCATGCCTTGCATATTCAACTAGGTTCATTGTACAAGACGTAATCGGGTCCTACGTGCTCGGAAGCAACACCGGAAGATTTCGCACCCCCTACTGTTCTCGAAATTCTTGTACGCATTTTGGCATCCATATGCCGCTGTCAGCGTAACCTCACACGCCAGGTTACCACGTACGTGGCATAGGTCTTGCAGACTTCAAGGGTTTCGGTCTGTCTCTCTATCCAAAGCACAGCTCATCCTCAGATATCCTTGTCTTTTGTTAGGATCTCGCGCAACATGGTGCGTTACACGAAGTGTCTGAACTCTCGTGAAGTAGATTCAACGATTGCTATGATAGAGCACAACCACGCAAACACCGCCTGGTCAGCTAGAAGACTGTCCCACCGCAGAAACTGCAGCAGGTCCTGAAGCTCTGACGCTGAAGTCGAGGCCGACGTCGAAGCCAAGGCAGAAGAAAACCAAGGCACCTCCGGCCACACCCAAGTCATTCAAGTCTGCACGTTTGCGAAAGTTGCATGAACAGTCGCAAGAGACTCTCGCTCATAGCGGTTTTCCGGAACCCGTGGGGAAGGAGCCTCCGTTGTCGCAGTTTCCTCTGGCCGAAGCCGCTGCGATCCCTGAGGGTCAAGGCCAGAACAAACGTACTGTAGCCCCTCACTATCCTCGCTATCCACTCAACCTAATCACTACGTTTTCTACAGATCAAGTGGAGAACGCAAGTCGCGGTGACATGTCTTCCACTGAGAACCACAGCCGTCACACCTTCTCCTCAATCCCGCCCCCTACGGCACCCCCTCGACGTTCCTCGACGAAACAGGCTGGAGGCAAGATGTCAAACCGTAAGCCCTCTCAGATTGTAGGCAACTTTACAGGTAGATCTTCCCAAGGTATAAGTGTCCCAATCACCGTGGCAGATCAAGCTCAAATCCATCTATGAGGCACCGACAGTAGCATCAAAAGGGCTTTAACCACCAGTGACTCTGCCGCACATGAATCGATAGATGCCTCAGCAAGTATACCAGGAAACAACCCAGACAACACTCCAGAAGACGTCCCGGGAGACGCTCCAGCAAATGTTTTGTCCAACGTTACACCACAATCCCCCTCGCGCGCGTCGCACTCACCCCCGGCGAGCACTCTGAGAAATGCTGGTGTTGAACTTGGACTTATCCGGTCCGGACTACACGAGGCTATGCGTCTCCTAGCGCTTAGCTGTAGTCGCTTATGTAGTATGTTACCATATTTGGGACTCTCTGCTCGTGTACTATAGCTATGCTTCCGGACTCTTCTGGTACTGTCTAGGACAATCTGTACTACTCCAGAATGGTCTAGACAGGTCTATGCCTTACTCATCTCTTACTCATCCTATAGTGCAATACGTCGCAATTCTTTTGTCATTGTATTATTCATCGCACTATGGTACATGTGACTAACCACTCTTCGATTAGTCATGGACACTTCTCTGTAGTATATAAGGACTTCAGATTGTGTCCTCCCTCTTCAGTCTTTCCTTACTGA